TGAGGTCCAATCTGCAGGATTCTTCTCAGACTTAATGTACCCCCACTGATTAGGGGATGAATACTGGTGAATAATGGCTAGACGGTCGGCCACGAACGCAGTATACCGACTCTCTGTATTTCCAATATAATGCAGGACAATCAAAGAATCTGTCCGAAAAAAAACCCCTCAAAGCTATTTGGGGGGTTCTTCCTCAAAATTTAACTCATCCGTGCACTCAGTACTGCCACAGTTAACCTTAATCTCCGCACTGTCACAGCTTTTAGTGGGGCAACCCGGGATTCGCCACACAGCAGTACGCTGTACGGTGGCGTGTTTTTTGGAACGTTCCGTGAATTAGCTACCGCTCCGCAGCCAGATTCAGAAGCATCGCAAAATAAGTGCAACTCAATCTCACTCATCTCAATCTTATCCTCCTTCTTGATACTTCTGGGTGTGGAGATTTGCTCAAGAATCTTCATGAACTTCATCCAATCCATCCACGCGGATAGGTCATTGGAAGTCAGAGGTGTATCTCAACCGATATGAGATTTGCAAAAACTGCAATAGCTGCCTGACTGAAGGGCTAATCGCGGCGATCAGACCCAGTGGGTCAAAAGGAGATGAGACGGTGGATAGTAGTCCTCTCTTCGTGAAGGGTTTTCGGCGGGTTCAAATCGGAACTTATAAACATCATGCATGGTGTCCCATTCCAAACTTAGGGCTCTGTGGGTTGAGCCTTGACTAACACGTAAGCCAATTGAGTTCTCTGTATGGCTCGGACCAAGAAGAACTACTCTCACTGCCTCTGAATTAGTCACCCGCTTGTTCAATTTAAAGCCACCGCGTAACATCAAGTCATTGGACTGTTTCATGAGCGTTTTTGCCTCATCTGAGCTTGCAAAAGACACTAGGCAATCATCAGCATAAAAGTTATGTTTCGCTGCTTCCACCACATGGCTACCATAATCATTGGCATCCGTCTCGGCAGTCTAGGCCGTTGAAAATGCGCACAAAATGGTGAGGACATCACACCAAATGGGTGTGACGCCATTTGATATTTAATGGGTTCTATCGAGAAGTCACCCTGAGGCCGCCATAGGAACCTCAGAGCACCACGGTCACGCTTCTGGACTTTCACCCGCATAAACATTTCCTCCACATCGGCTGTCAAGGCGGTCGGTTCTTTGCGAAAACCCAATATTATTCCAACCAAGTCCACTGTCGTGTCTGGTCCCTGATACAGGAAGTTATTTAAAGACGTTTCGGACACTTTGGAAGCACAGTACAACTCTTACCTCCCCCGACTTTTTGGGGTTAAATACGACGTGATGAGGCGAATACCATCGTGGGCGGTGGCCAGGATTAAGCTGGGGCTCAGGAACCACTCTTGCGTATCCCCTTCTGACGGTCTCTTGCATGGCGCTGGTGTATCTTTCACGAAGGCCTTCAGAGGATATTAGTCTGCTTTTCAAGCTCTCTAAACGTCGCCTGGCTACTTCACACTCGCCACACGCAATCCTGGACTCCACTTTCCGGGGCAAAGGGACAATAAAATGTCCATTATCCAAATAAGTACGTCGCTCCACTGTGTTCACAGCAGCTGAGTCATCGAGTGATAACGACTTATCTCCCGAGTACAAATCACTGAACTCATAATTGTAAATTCTCCTCCACTGATCGATTAATAAATCCGACCGAGACATACAATTCACAAACCTCTCCTTGTGCTCACGAAAGCTCGTCGGACCGAACACGATCCAACCCGATGACGTTCTCATAGCACATGTGCTTTTTCTGCCCCCTAACCTTTTATCCAGGACCCAGTGAGCTTCAGGTACATCACAACCAATGAGCAGCAAAACTTCCCTGCCTTTCGCCTCTGTCTAGGATACGTCAGTGGGATGCGGCCACTTCATAATGCTTTCTCGCATCGACCTCTTAGGTCTCCGAACTGGGAAATCTCTTGCCACAATTGCCCAACCTAAAAGTATACATCCGCTTCAGTCTAGTGAATAAACTTCAAAGGGCTTGCCGACTGAGCTCGCCACTCTACTTCCGCTAACGGTTTTAATGGTAGTCTTTGTGCTGTCAGTCGGCAACCCTAGAAGCTGCAAAACATCTTTCGTGATCAAAGTTGTATCAGAGCCATTGTCCAAGGAAGCGTAACCGCAAACCTCTTTATTACCGTGCTTTACACGTACCGGGAGTAGGCCCAAACACACGCTTTCTCTGCGAGACACGGCCAGTCCACGACTACTTTTCTCCAGCTGTTCGCCCATGGCATTGTAGGTCTCCTTATGCAACAGAGGGTGATGGGGTGCTTTACAACCTTCTACACTGCACACACTAATTTTACATTCTACGGACCTGTGGCCCTTTTTAAGACAGGAAAAACAACCAATTTCTTTGGCCTTCGACCATCTGTAGAGACAGAAATGTGGCACAATTTGTGACTACGTGGCTTCCTCCGCAAAATATACTTGAGGGTTTCATGACTTCCCCAGCGGGTACTAACCGCTGCGTGGGGCATGGTGTTTTACTGTTTGGTTGTCTACTGCTTGTTGCCGGCTGTCCAAACCTACTTAGCGAAGTGCTCGAGCGTGCTGACGGAAACTTCGTCAACTCTGCGAAGGTGGGTTCCCGTTCATTTGCGGTTAAGTTTTCGACAGTCTCTGCCCATTTCATCTGTAACACAGGAGGCAGTTTCTTTACTATGCCTTCCAAAGCCCTCACAGTTAAGTTTTTGTGGTCAACCTCGGCATTGCCTCAGCATCGTTTTCTTCCACGTCAGAACATTCTATCAGATCCTGCAGTAGGGCCAGGCTGACCTCATGGGTCCCCCCGAACAAACGTTTAGGCACATCTCTCGCCCTGCAGAAACCGGCAGATGGTGGTAACATGATGCACTCCTCTATGGCCCCCTGGCCTTACCTTTACAGCGATGTAACAAGTATAACAGCCTCTGTTCGTCATCAACCTTTGAGACAACGTAGAGCTCAGAGTGCCTCATAAACTTCAAGCATTTGTCTGGATATCTGCCGAAGCTGCATAATTCTACCTTTGGCAACTCATGGTCGAAATTAGTACAAGACAAAGTAGCAGCAATCCCTTTGTTTTCTGTGGTGCCCACCTGGCTAGTCATTTCAGGATCAAGCCTGTTGTGAGGATCAGTACCAAGCCAAACTGATTTGTGACACTTTAGATCATCATCCGAAAAAAGGTGTCACCCAGACCCCCCTTCAGTTCCTTATGCAGACGCAGCCCTCCTTGTCATGTTTGGCCTTGAATTCACGAAGCTCTAGCTCTTGCCTTTCATCCAACCGCTGTGCCTTCAGTTCAGCAGACGTTCTACCAGGCCTATGGTGGATCCGTGGACATGTCACCTTCTCCATCCGGGACTGACTCAAGGAAAACCTTGCGCTTGCCAGGTACAGCAGTGACGGTGTGTTGAGTACCCTGACAGCCAGAATCCAATAATCTTAGCCTGAACATGGGAAATAACAAGACGGTGCCAACTAACGCGAATCTGACTGGTTCCCGCGTTCTACCGTATAGCTTCCGAACTTCCGCGAGTGACGCACAGTCAAAGGTTGGATCAAAATATCGAAACACGGCTTGTAGTAAATCAGTGGTGGATTCGTAACAAAATCTGTGGTACTATCAAAACAACTATAAGTTATATCAAAATTACAAAACTACCCCAACAGTTCCATTGGGTACAGTCCAAACGTTCTCGGGTGCAAATAAGTACTATACGGTAAAAACTGGTCAAACCAATACAATTGTTAGGTACCTGACAGTCAATAAGAATATTCCCGACAGAAGGGATCAAAACTCTATCTACCAGAATTAAATCAACAAATAAACGTTTCCAGTAGGCAGTCAAAAGATAAACGTCAAATCACAGTAAAACCGTAAGGTGCAATAAAACAACATCACCCTGTCAACAGTCCAGCGTCACATGGTAGGAAAGTGAAACATTCATGATAAGTCTCAATCATATAAAGGCAAATACTGAGCACAAAGCCAAAGAAGACGGTCAAACAACCAGACGGCATTACACCGGCTAGGGTCAAAGGTACACCATCCATAAAGAGGGCAAAAATACTCGAATAAATGTCAATACTATCAACCAGTGTGATCAGGAGGGATTTTAAGATCAATTTTCCTTTACAACCTGGCTCCCCTTTTCACTGCAGTTTGTGCTCTCTACATTCGTCCTCGTCCAGAGTAAAACTTGCTTGTAATTTGCTCATACTTAAAGAAGAACTTGGCTATCCTGTAACGGGCGCTGGGAAGAGCTACAGGGAAGGTATTTGTGGCACGGTATAAACCCTAACCCGAGTGCTTAGTTGCTTAGGCTGTATCCGGTACATTACCGACAGATAGGAGGGATATGATCATGATGAACCACATAGCCCATAATCCTCTTCCTCCTAATAGACGCCTTCTAAGCTTTAATCTGAAAAGCCATCTGAGGAGTCACTGGTTAAGAATAGAGCATCGGAGAACATGTACAAAGACCTATGCTAACTCGTTTGCAGTTAGAGTCTGTAAACTGTGGAGCTCCGTTTTTTCAGCCGTTGTTAAAGTCCCATCCTCCGGTTCTTCCATAAGGTCAGACGCATACCTCGAGTCTTGCGGCACCGTAGGGCTGTACTGGAGATGCTTTCCTTCATCTGCAGATCAGGTGCAGTAATATAACTTCAGACCAGGTTAATTAATAATCGATCATACCTATCGTTTCAGGTTTTTCGGAGCCAGGGAGATAATTGTGACCACCCCATACTCAGAACGTACTCCAGCTAGATAGACACAGAACCCAATGGACCGTCGTTCAATAATTCTACAACAAGAAGTTTGAAGTTTACCACAGAAATACTCCTACGAATACCTAAAGAGTATAAACGAACAAAAACACCAAGCCTCAGGACCCAGAAGCGAGAGACCAAAAACTATAAAGTTCTATATGCATCATTGATGCTTATTTCGGATGCTGTTCAATTGACCTTGAAGAATTGTTCATACTGCTCACTTAAGTCGTAGCTGTTGACCTTAAGGTCGTTCCAAAGCATGACTTTTAATTGCTCTTCGTGCAGGGTGGATATCTCAGCTGATGAGAAAGTCCATCATGCTAGGAGTGATTGGCATGTTTACAATCTAAAGCGTATAGTTTCTGGCCTTCTGCCGATATCTGAAGAGATATTTTTGCAGAAGAAAGAGCTGCTTGCTGCAGAAGCACCTGGAGTTGGAAAGGTTTGTAGTATCTCCATTACTCAATTGTGTTTCAGGAAACCTATTGTAGTGCTTGCAAGAAATGCTTCTCTAATAATAAGTCGTTTTATGCCCACCTGTCATCAAAGCGGCACCTTCATAACATCGCATCTCGAAGGTTAGTTTGCAGAAAAGCTTGACATATATATCTTGTTAGTCTTGGTACTTCAGGGAAACTAAAAATTGTCGAGGCTCACGGAAGATTCCTTGTAGATTTGAAACTATCGAATACCCTAACTTGGTTTTTCAGTTCCGATATGAGTTGAGTGCAATGCTTGGTTTTTTTAAGTGCACCGGAAGCGCTTTTCAGATGGAACTAGCACATATAATGTTCAAAGTGTAACCATTTTTCGTATCATATGTGTAAGAATTTGTAAGATGCTATCAGTAGAAAGACAGTGCATGTCAACTTTCCACAAATTGTGCAATAAACTGCACTTTCAAAACTTGACATAATCATAACCATTATGACATGTAGTGTTCTTAAAAATTAAAACGTTCTATCTTAACTGCCAAAATGTGGACATCAGTGCCTTTCTAATGACCTGGGATATTGACATTGGAAGCAGCTCCTATCATGGTTATTTGTAAAGTGTGAGAACCCGGGAATATGCCAACAATTAATTCCATATTATCGACAGAAAATAGTGGTGTTATGGATACTTACCTCCACTCCTTAGATTCGTCAAGACATCTGGACTTACATTAAATCTGTTGTTTGTGTGGCTGTTAAGCGGTCGAACAGCACATAAGGGTCTTAGTGTGCTCATTCTGATTAGTTGGTATTGACAAGTACCGGCATTCTTCTGTAACTTAATATAGGCTGGTCCCATGGTAGGTCTCCTGGCCACTTTCCAGTTAATAGACGACGACCGTGTTTAGTAAAAATATGGATTATGGACACGTTCAGTGTCAGTCTATTCAAGTTTTGGTGTTGCCTTATTACAGTAAGCTTTTAGACTGCTGATACAGTAAATGTCATTGGTTGAAGAGCATAAAATCGTTGACAGACTACTACGCGAGTTTAAATTCGATCACATCCCTTGTTAAGTTTTTAATCTAATCTCACCTTTTCGATATGCATTACATGCTGTTCCTTTTGACTTTTGAACAACCTTGAAATAGCCCATTTTTGAACCATAAGCGTAATCAAGTGTTTTGTTTTCGTATTAGAATTGTAGACTGTAGCTAAGGTTCACGATTGCTTATAAGTAAACCTAATGTATGCTTAGGTTCATGTGAAAACATTGAGTTGAGGTGGTATTTTTATTTGCAAGTAATTCAGAACCGAGATAACTAGATCAGTGATATACATCATCACTCCACAATTTAAGCGATTGAAAATTATAACAATTCAGGCAGTTCAGTAACAAGTGCGTAGATAGATATAGTCTTAGTCATCATATTCTGTAGCTGTTGGAGTTCTGATGACTCATTTCACCATTACATTGAGATTGTAATCAGACCTACAAATTCATTTCAATGATCCCACCATAAGTTGTGTCTGTTGAATACTTCAATCACTTACGATTACAAATTCGACTGGGAGAATATGAAGATCTTCAAAAGGGCACGTTTGAAAGTGACAAAAGAATTTCTAGAGGCAAGGAATTCCAGCGAAAAGTCAATCAAAATACTCGTGGATATTGACCCGATCTACTTAGGAAGAAAAATAGCCACCCATCAACCGAAGATAGATTCACCAATGAAGCACAGTGTGATAGTAATAAGTAGCAAAATCCCACTCTAACAAAGATTTTCTACCAGCGTGACCAAGTGGAGTTTTAGATCAGTCTCCCCGAACATACAGTTGGACAACATTGAAGGTTGGTAAAACACTTCCTAAACATTAGTGTAATGCTTGGATATGCTTCATTTTTTCATGAAGTTATTTGTGCGATTGTCACCAAAGCTGGTGATGAAACGTCCATGACAAAATTCCAAAGCTCACAAGACCAAACCAGCATCACTTTTATCTTAAGCTACAAATCTTTTCCGTTTAGTAGGATTTTGCGAACCGCAGCGCGGTGCAATCAACCCCCTAATGGGGAACGAGGCATCATGGCTTGGAGTACCTAAAAAAGGAAGTGTTAATAATAGTAGTGGGTGACTCTAGGAGTCAGGGGACGCGATAGAGGTTGATCACACCTGACTTATTTGTGAGTTTGAGGTTCAGCTTTGATTATCTAAAATCCGTACCACCGCCAATGGACGACCCCAAGGGAGGTGAAGTGTGTGCTACTTTAAGGGCTGGTCTTACATAAACCTCCCTTCCTACAGGAAGAGCAGCATCTGCATGGTCTGCCGCGCGTGCCTGAGAGACGTTATTGCTGTCAGGTCTCGTGTAGCCAACAGTAAATTATTACTGTCACTTTTGTTTACTACCACTATCCAGAGGATCTTTCAGTTATGGCAAGATCATAAGCGACAAATAGTATCACCGTTAAGACTCGTTGGGTCACCGGGACATGAACGTCTTACCACCACGTCAAGGCTGTCAATCGGAGATCTGAAGTACTAGCAATGTGACTTTGCCACAAGTTGGAGCCTCTTTAAATATTGCCTATACCTATTATATTTTCTTAGCTCATCTTGTAGTATTGCCAGCTTATAGAGATTTTTCTTGTTTTAGGGAAAAGCTGACTCATTCGGTTGGTGATACAAAAGAGTATGCAGAAGAAAATAGTTCTCCACAGCCGTTACCACTGGGATCATGTTTATTTTGTGACCGTTTTATATCATGTAACTCTGTTCCGGATGAACTCGTCGATGAAACCCAACAAATTAAACTAGCCAAACGCGTTCTAGATCATATGTTTGATGCACATAAATTTAGTGTACCGTTTCCAGAAAAGTTAACAAATCCCGCTGGATTACTGATTGAGCTAGGGCGTATTGTAGGAGAAGAACGTGCATGCCTAGCCTGTGGTCGTCAGTTTTATGGTAGTCGTCTAGAAGGATCACACAATCAGGTCTCTTTGTCCGCAGTCCGTAATCACATGCTAGATAAGCCCGGACACAAAAGAATTTGGTGCGGAACTGAAGATCCTGTTCAGGTTGCCTTATTGTTGGCTGAAGCAGAAGAGAGATCAGATGATTGTAAAAAAGACTATCCTGAAGTTGGCCTTGCAGGCGGTGAACTATTTAGCCAATTTTACGACCAGTCTGTTATTGCATCACCATTCATACTGGTAAGTTACAGAAAATGTTTTGCTTGATAAGTTTTGATTAGACACAACGTTAAACTTTGACTTATTGATTAAAACGATATTACTTAAGTAGTAATCCCACTCTAAGCAAACAGAACGAAGCAGCTCTCTACAGTCATCCTGAAATCTTGCCTCTACATTCAACAATCATTTTTCAAAATTGCATATTCAAACAATGGACCGCGGCATACTCATCCTTTGGTAGTCGAATATGCTGTTGGGACAGGAGACGGCATAACTTGACGAGTGCCAAAAGGTCAGCCCATTAACGCTGATACAATTCCCTGAGTGAGGAAAATGGTCAAAGAGCTTTTACGTTCCGCTCCTTATCTTCAGACTCGAAGTTGGTGCAGGTCATTCCTGAAGCATTATCTTATTTTTAGATGGCGTTTAACGCACACCTAATGTACTGTCGTAACAAAGATGCGTATGGGTCTGCTATTTACTCGCAGGGGAGACGACTAGAACAATGGCAGAACACTTCAACACTTTAACTGGCCTCCAGCTACTATTTTGTTGCGCAGTCAGAACCTGAACAGAACATTGAGATAAGATCCCAACACTTGCAGAAGTCAAAAAACTGCAGGTAACCTAAAACTAGGAAGAGCAGCGAGGCCAGACAGACTAGTTCCAGAGGTATTCAAGGATGATGAAGGAGGATTTTTAGTCAAGTTATCTAAAGTGTTAACTAGTGTGTTGGAAGCAGATACAACCCCATCTGACTGGTCTCAATCCCTGATTTTCCCAGACTTCAAGAAAGATGAGAAGTCCACCTATGATAACCACAGAAGAACTAGTCTGATGCATATAGTGTCTAAGATCCTAGGTTCTGTGATAATCAGATGTCTGGGTGGAGCTTGGAAACAGCAAGACAGAGAGAACCGGGCAGGTGAGTTGTGTACATTCAGTGGCGTACGTCAAGGATGCCCGTTTTGTCCATTCCTGTCCAATTTCGTCATATCCTTATGGAGGTCTGCCTGTCATCGTCTGACATCACAGGGATTGATCTAATCACAAGAGACTCCTTGACAGATATAGAGTACGCAGATGACATAGTTCTGTTTGGTGAAAATACTGCAACATCTTGGGTAGCTATTTGAGAATGTTTGGGATGCGTTTCTCACCACCCAAATGTAAAGTTTAGCTCGAGGATTGGTCTTCAGCGGTTCCCCTGCTATCAATAGAGAGTGAAGGTGTTGAGTGCACTGACCACTTCACTTACCTGGAAAGTCAGATTAGCCCTGGTGAGTTAGTAGTAGCTAACGAAATCTGTGCACGGATACCGAAGGCTCGATTGGCTTTTGCTAACAACGCCATCTGTGGCGCCTCCACTATATCTAATAACTTATTCAGGGTCGAGTGTACTGTGCTGCAGTCTACTCTATTCTACTGTATGGCTGTTAAACAACGATTAAAGGTAGTGGACATATGGGAACTTCATGTATTTGACTACCGTTACTCTAACATATGCTGTCTCATGGTGTCACCGCGTCAGTAACACAAGTCAGGTGCAGAGCTTTCAAGGAGAGAGGAAAGCAAGTTGATAAGGCCGTGAACTGTCATCCACTAAGATAGCTGGGACATGTATTACTCATTCCCAGTCTACGTCTACCTCGTCACGCAATATTGACTGAAGTATGTTCAGGTTAGAAAAAGACTTGGAGTGGCTAGATTAAAACATGGCACCACTGCATGAAATCTCTGCCTGTTGGTTTTTTGAACCAAGTAAGGAGATGCAGACTAGACGGTTGGGGACCGCTTGACAGCGGAAACTAGTGGTTGGTGACTAGGTGATATGACTCAAGATTGATGTCAGTGACACAAATGTATCCAGACTTTATCTACGCCTTAACCGCAGTACTGAATTCAGCATTCCATTCCTCCCTCCTCTCCTTTACTATATTGTACTGCTTCTGACCGAATTTTCTTTACTTCTTCATCTTTCATTTTATTACTTTGTTACTTGATGTGGTGATATTAAGTGTGGCAACTTAGACCGTTACATAGTAATGCCTGGTTTGATTGATTACCTTCCAGATACTGTTTTGTCATCTAGTATGTAAAAAGTGTATATATTTGCTGCTTCACATTTAGATTCAACTGGTAGTACAAAGTTATATTGCAAAACGTGATGAGAAATAAAGTGGCCAAAACTTATATATATATTGGTTACTTGTCTCATAGTCTATTAATTTTTTCCAGTAGTCCGCCTTACTGAGTTAATTCTTTTATATGGCATCTGCTTTTCTGTTACGTATTTTATTTATCACATTCTAGTCGGATGATGAAGACGTCTACGAAATAAAGCTACCATCTGGTACTGTTCTTGGTCACCGGAAAATGAAAGCAGTTTATAAACAACACTTGAGTACAAATCTATCATTAGCTATCACTAATGGATCGAAAGTGTCGAACTACACTGGTGACACAAAAAGCGTTTCTATATTGCATTCAGATTTCAAACCTTCAGTTCAGAGGAGATTTAACACAGATTCGGGAAGGTATTTAAATGAACAGCGGAAGCACTGGGATTTGGTAACCGGTGTTCAAGGCAATCTGTGCAGTCGTATGCACCTACGAAGGCAATGTTGAATTTGTGAAAGTTTTGCTAATCGTCGGAAAATGGATTTATCTTACGTGATATTTTCAATGATTTTTTCATTTTGATTGACTGACTTCATCCTATGTAGCCAGTATCCGTTATCTACGTTTGCATTTTAAATATTTTGAACATTCAGCTCCGGAGAGAATTTTAAAAACGTAAATTGGAGTATTGCAGAGCTTTTTTATTTGGTACGATAAACATTTATACTGCTATTCATCCTTAACAATCAAATGACTGAATACATACCATTTCTTAAGTAGGATTAAAGCAAAGAGTAAGTAAAAAGGGTGGAAATTAGTTAATACCGTCTATTGAAGTGCTAATAAGCTAAAGCATAATGGTTAATGTCAAATGACGTGACTTCTTATTCTCATATGCTAGCCATATCGGTAAGTAGAATGATATAGTAGATAATATTGTATTGCTGTGTGCTGTATCAAATAAACCAATCTGATATGTATTTCCACATCGTCTTCGTTAGTTTAATGTTATAAAAACAGTTATTTAGTGGATACACTTTGACTTTACTGTACCCTTTTAACCAGTTTCAATTTCAATGATGAAAACATCTTAGTTTTACAGTCCTCCAGCATGGATTAATCATAGGCTTTAGAAAGACTGATAATTCCTAGTCAAGAATTAGCGTAAATGTGTACAAGTTACCTGTTTATTTGGTCTTGATCAGTTTGGTGCTTTAATGAGAGTATAGTATCTTACCAATAATGTTAAAAAGGGTTCGCACAACAGTAAATTTATTTCTAAATCAGCATATACTCTGGTGTTGACATCCTTTTTCCACTCGGTTGACAGTTAGATACTTGTCCATCATTTGTTTCAGCATACAACTACGAGAATACTGTTTAGCTCTTCTGATATCATCATCAATGGATTGTGAAGGCAGTACGTGTGCGTCGGTAATGTATTATCGAAAAAACCCATGATGTGTTATTAGGTGCCCAAGGTCACTTAGTTGGTTGCGATAACTATTCGATTCAGCCTTGGATTCTCTCTGTGATATTCCACGTTTTCTGAACCAGCATTTGGTGCTCGATAATCGCCTCACATTACCGAAATACTTTTGAACTGGTTCTCGTTCCTAATAAAAGTTACACCAGTTTTGTAACTTTCCTAGTTATTAAACCTCGATATCATAATTGATGTTGCCCGGTTCTGGTATTCACAGTAGTGAGTGGTAAATAAGTTTCATACCGTGTACGGGTAGACGTTCATCGTTTTGGGGGTTAGTCTTACATGATACTAATGCTTAGTCCTGAAGAGACTGCTGGGATTTGAGAGATGAGGAAAGCGTTCTAAAACTCACTCAACATGTTCAGAAGATTGCGTCTTGTCGATGTCTTTAATTAACAGAGTTATATTCTCTAATTACTCCAAGTTGACAGAAAAATCTATCAGATCAACATCTGTAAAATCAACGAAGGATAGACACCTTCATAAGCATGTCTGTGATATAGTTGGATAAAAATTATCAAAGTGGAGACCATAAATGGTCACTATTCGATATAGACAGTAAATCCGATAGCTCAGTGTAACACCACAATGATCCAAGTGTAGAATGATATACTTTCCACTGAGATGTAATACTCTACCAACCGGAGGAAACAGATGAGAATCAACATAAAGTTTGTCATAAAAGTGCATCAGTTCAAGTTGTCATAATTCACAGCAACATACAGAAAAAGGTACTGAGCCAGAAAAATATGTATGAGGAGATCAGTAAACCATAGTAAAAATGACAGCGTATATAAGTATTTCTCACTGTGGCCGACTTTGACTCATACTACCAAGACTCTCCAACCATTGATTCCCATCATTTCAAAGATTTCAGACTAGCGGCCTTCGTCTCCTTTTATGAATTAGACCAACAGTTGAAGACATTATTGATTGGCCCCATGTAATCTGTAAACCCAACCGACAAAGCCAAACACCACCTTCAATTCAAGTTATACAGCTGTTATTGGAAGACCCAGTGACGAGTAAAGACCAGGTAAATTCACCCGCGATATCGCGGGTGAATTTACCTGGTCCAAAACTTGGTTGATCGTTTCAAGTTTACCGTTTTTGAAAATCAGTTAAATATCGAACAATTATAGAACTAACTCTTACGTTATCGCAAGAAAGTTTATATCTTTCCATAAAAATCTGTGGTTGATACCAGTAAGCGTTAATCATGACCTGACTTCTATAATCCAGCTAATATCTTAGTCTAGTCGTAGGCTCCAGTTCGCGAATAACTGTGGTATAAGTGCGTCAGAGGCTGTTGACCTACACCGCTGCAGATTATTTATAGCCTTCTGAACTTAAACTAATGGTTCAGCAGGTTGTTCTGTCCATCACTCTTGTTGTCCTCTCTGCAGGGGGCAGAATATCCATCTTTCTCGAACAAAATTACATGGAAGACTGTTATTTTCACCCCTCCTTTCTGATAATTTTAGGCGGCAGCTTGCCGCTACACAAAACAGGTGTCTTTCCACCACGGTCATTGCTTATCTCCCTTTCAGCCTTCTCTTAGGTCGCTTCTGATCCTCGCTATGCTCGAAATGTGCTAGAATAAATCCACTTTCATTAATTGATTCGGAAAAGCTTCTGATATCCAGTTACACATTTTGCTTCTATCTATGTTTTTATATGCTTATATGAGACTATTTTGTGCTACTAATCCGATCTACTCGTGGATGACTAGGCATCTATTTATGCAATGCGTTTTTACCCTAGGAATTGAGGTTACACCTACTCGTTCATGACCGGTAGAGTTTTCTGACAAGAATCTAAATACTCAAAGGATGAACTTTGAAAATTAACCACACTGACCACACGAAATCGGGTTGACAACCGCACTTTCGTTTCATGTGCCGGTTTCGGAAATGCCATCCGTCCATGGGCTTGAATGTCAGGGTTTTGGGTAGTTGTGATTTTCGTCCGATTTGATGGGGAATTCACACATTCAAAATTACAATATATAGCTTGGAGCTCGTTTTCAGGAGGCTGGAAATGCTGTTCTGCGAACGTGAGTAGCTATCGCTGAAGAGCTGGAAGCGTTTGGGAGTGACAGAAAATGTGAAAGATGCGGAAAGTTGATGGTGATCAGATGCGACTTGGAAGCTTGTAGGGTTATGAATTCTACTGGCTACCCACCCCAGATTAACTGAATTCTTGAGGCATCTGCAAAGGAAAGTGGATAGGTCGGAATTGTTGTGGTGACCTGAATACTTAACCGCAGATCTTTGAAGACATCTGTTGGAAGTCAGTCATGCAGCTGTTTTTAGTTTGGATGGAGTAGAACTACAACTATGCTTAAAGGAAAAGTCTTCCTACAGGGTGAGTTCGAGTAGAGAGCTTTGATAAACGTTATAAACTTGCTCCTAGACAATATTAGTCAAACAAACTCCCCTATGGTTGTCACAAGAAGACTCCTCCTCCTTACAGACTGGGATGATCATTAAAGTAGACCAATCTGACGAGAGTACCTCTGATTCCCATACACTACGTAATGTCTCCTTCAGTATAATCAGCAATTTCCATCTCCGTCCTTGAAAACCTAGGGTGGCGAACTGTCAGCTTCCCCTGCTTTGCATCGTTTTAGGTCCGATGCAGCATTCTCAACTTCAAAGAACACCGAGAAACCGACATTTAGGTATCATTCAGCTTCATGCTTGATGTTGGGCTACCGAAGTATTGCTGTGGGCCAGTTGAACGGCTTCTACCCGCCTGTCCTAAGACGTTATCAGCGTCTCATCCTTTTCAGTGGTGATGTCACACCATTGTTTACTTCCTGCCGGTATGCTTAATAATCCGAAATAGTTGCCGAGTGTTACACAACGCTAACGCCTTCTCCGTCTCCCTCGTTTTTGCCACCCACCACTGCTCGCAATCGACGCGAAGACTGTTTGTCAACTCCCATTTGAGCTGCTTTAGCTTTTCGTCGTGATCAGAGCCTGCTGGAACCAGTCTTCTCGCATCAATCAGTTTGGATGACTTCGCGGAAATCTAATGACGTTTGGTAACCTTCCGGTGTGCTACTAACTGTGTGTACCACTGGTTCTACAGCAGACTTAGTATCACACCAGGTTTCCTCAGGGTGCGGATTTGTGTCATGTTCAGTTAAATGCTTAGCTAACTTTTCCCTGAATGCATACTTTGCATCCTCGTCTTCCAATGGAGAATAGACAGGCTATACTATCATCTGTCTCCTGCGACCAGTAAGGCGCAGACATTGACAAGTATGTATCGCCTTGTCTCACAATCCTTCCTAACCCTTACGGATCCATTCAGTCGAACAGCATATAAACGGCTGTTGACTGGTATTCAGTCGAGAAGTTCACTTCTTGGCCTATAGCTCAATGCTGCCCCTACACTGGCGAGTCCACGAGAGCTGGCCACTAGGTCTCTGGATACTCGAAGATTCACTACTACGGCCAGGTGAGATAAGTTTAATAACCACACTCGGATCCTGTATACGAGTCTCAGAGACGCAGCATACACCCATGGCTCGAAATTCCAGAGTTCCGGCAAGCGATGCTTGTTTTCCGATTTGGCATAGAGTGTGGACTGTAAAAGCTACTACATGAAGTCGACGGCGGGGTTTTAGGATATGGAGAATGAGGTCCTGGCGGCTTTAATCGTCGTCAATGGTTACAGAGTGAGAGGTTGGGGAAGGCATAAGAAGCCTAATATCAGCACCAGGAAGTGAAGGCAAAAGAGACAGAGTTGAGGGGGATAGGTTATGTTTCATTGGGTCCTGTGTACTACTGTAAGCATGCTTGGCGATTGACACTTCACGGCTGCCCATGGGACGTCTGCCGGAGGTTGTCACGCGGTCTTTTTCAGGTTGTTTTCAGGTTTTTCAGGTTTGGTTGTTCTAACGCCGAATAGAGAAAACCCATACCTCCTGCACCGGAAGACCGTGTAGCAGGAAAGGGTGTTCTGTTTTTGGGGCCGACGTTTTTAGTCCCCGAGAGAAGGCACCATCAGCGTGACACTGCTACTCATTCAAAGGAAACACCCTACTGCTGCCACATCCCATCCAACTAATAGCAACACGACTTCGTCCTCAGACTACACTACAAGGGCAACTGCTCCTTGTCTTGCTACTATCCAATAGATCTTTTTGGCATGATAGGACCTCCAGGGAACAAGCGTTCCAGCCAGTGTAGCTCGTTGGGTCATTGTGATATACAAGTCCTAGCACCACGTCAAGATAGCAGCTATCATAAAGGGATCGTTCAAATCAACATAGTTCATTCCAATATGCAAATCCAATCATCATCCCACTGTAGTTAGCTTCCGTTTTGAGTAGTCGTTCAAAGTTATTATCCTAATTCATTCGGTCTGTGTGTATTCTACTTTGTTTTCTTTAGGGTCAGATGAAACATAGTTAATATGTGGTTGTTTTAATCTTCAGCATTTTTCTGCTGATCAGCAGTATCTTATGTTGGTTACAATAAAACTGTTGCTCCTTTGAGGGCCAACCAGCCCACTTAGAAGTGATGCAGCTTTAATAGTAAGGAGGCGCAACAACTAATCAATGGCAGGCTGCTTCGATCTGGTGATCGGTTATTTCGATAACTGTAACGTTCATAATTATATTTAGAGAACTATTTTCGCAGTTGTTTCCCTTGGACGAGTTTGCTCGACTTTGTATAGATTCAAGGAGAGAAATTGAGTAAAGCTGACACAAACGGAAAGCCACAACAAAAATCAGCTTCCCTCAGTTCAACAGCTAGGTAAAGTGTATTTCAAGGTACAGTGATACCTAGGACAATTTTAGTGTACTGGTGGTTGGTGTGTAAAAATGTTTCCATCTGAAGGCGTGGGTTATCTGATGTTAGGGATCAGGCGTAGAACTTTGGAAATTATCGTGGGAAAACATGCTTGTCATAAAATGAAAACGCCTTTCCTAGTGGGTTATTTGCATAGGTTTCTTGGGTAATTGGTTCCTCATAACCAGATTCTGTACTAAATTTATAACCTGTTAAAACGTAGAGTTTGTATTCTCTACCTGTTGTGACCAGTTATTTTCCTACAAAAACAGACAACGTAAAAGTTACAGTACCGTCGGAGTTCAAGCAAAGATAATATGGCTTCATTGGGGATGTGAAAAGCCAGCATTATTTTGTTTGGTGTAATTTACGACAAGCCTTTATTTTAAATGCAGAGAAATTCACCTAACCGCCATTCTGGATTTAATCGAAGTTTAATTACTGTTGAAAACATTTCATGAACTAATATGACCGAATTGATGTGAACATAGTAAAACTTCTCGATAACACTTTTATGAGGGAAGCACAGCTTATTACTGTGACCTTTCAGGGGGATACATTTATACATCATGCTTTTCACCGCATTATTTGTCTTCGGGAATTAAAAACTTATTTCACAACCTGACAATTTTACTACAAGATATAGTCGCATACTACTTGACATTGAAGGAAAAGTGGGGTGAGCGATCTATCTACTTTTCAATAGATAAAAACCTTTTATACAAGATGAAACTCATTTTCTTCACTATACGGATTACTCAGTAGTAAACACACCCATACACATGATCTTATTATAAATATAATGCAATAATTAACAGTTATTGCGCGCATCCAGGTTACTTATACGTATAATAAAGTCCTATCAACAACGAAAAACAAATTATCAGCTGGATAATAATAATAAACATTGGTAAAAAGTAGAAAAGAGAAACAAAATAACTTGGTTCACGAGTTTTGAACTAGTAAACACCATATGACAATTCGCTAAACGTAAACAAACATTAAATAAAAGCCTATCATTCCCCCTGACTGACTGACTACATAGCATTGATGATGTAAGTATGTATGGATATATGTAGTGGAAGAGGATTGAAGAAGCAAGATTATGCATATGCCGTAGAGGAAATAACTGAAGGATACATTAAATGAACAATGCTGGTAACAATAATACACATCATCAACTTTTCATTGATAGCGAAACGAAAGAAATAGCACTGACTAAACAGTGAGAATAGATCAAGGCTGGATAATAATACGCCTAGAAGAGTTAGTAACGAAGGGTAAATTCTTAAAAAAAAGAAGCAAATTTCACAGTTTGAAATCACATCTTCCTATATATGCAACACATTAGCATTGAATAACAAAGAAGGATAAGTTTGTTCGCATATATATATATATATATATATATATATATATATATATATATATATATATATATATATATATATATATATATATATATATATATATATATATATATATATATATATTGTACACACATACCTTGATTGTGTGATTCACACAGAAATGAGTTTATCTTTGTGAAAAATATTTCAAAATAATAATTGTCACATTAGTTAGTAATAATATACATAGGTTGAACATGAAATGCGTTTACAGTCAAATTTTTACGGATAAGAAAGGAGAAGAGGGACGATGTCAGCTGGAAGAAGATTGTAAATTATACACAAGATGAAAAAGTCGATTCTCCCATTTTGTTTCCCATAGGAAAATGATACGGTGCAGATCATTAATAAGAGAAAAACTATTTAGAAAGTTATCTGATTTCATTAGTACAACTCATTCATTCCTCAATAAATATTATTGGTAAAATTATTTTGATATTATTAGCTGGTTAATACCAGAATACTGATTCTGCTGTATATGTGTAGTGAGTGTTTGAAATGTTCACATTTTTAAGTGATATTAATAGTACGAATCTTTTTAAGCATAAAAGAACAATAGTAGTACAGTTAAGTTCAATTTATTACCAATGTATCCCACTAAGAGTCATCATAGATACTTGAGGTGGACCAGATCTTGTATTCGAAAAGAAAACCTATCCAATAAGGTAAATAAAAGCAGAAATTATAAAACGATAATTCATTTGTGAGCAAGATAACAGTACTCAACATTTTACAAACGAAAATGAGTAAGGTATCCCTAATCTTTGAATGAGTAGTCATTTCTCTAATGGAAACCGTCGATTATATTTGTGAAGAATTATTGGAAAGTGTATTAGACACTAGCATTCCTATTATGAATTTGAAAGAACTGCTGCTGAAATGCAAAATGAATGTCCAATTCATCTTCAACAGTAATCTGTACAGACAAGTTGACGGAGTGGTCATAGGATCTTCATTGGGACTAATATTTGCAGAATTATTTTTGGCGAAATTGGAAAATGGTATATTGAAAGATCAAACTGCTAATATGGAGTTATACTGTCGATACGCAGATGATACTTATTTAGCCTTTGATAGGTGCATATGTATTAATTCTATTCTGAACCATTTCAACAGCGCCCATTCATTTTACATACGAAAATGAAATCAATGATTCAATACATTTTCTTGATGTGGTTATGATAAGAAACAAAGATGGCTCTATGCTGAGAAGAATATATAGAAAACTAACGTCTAAGACAGTATATGCACTTTCTCAGCTTCGTACCGAAGAATTACGAACGCAATACAATCAGGTGCCCGGCTTTTAGAATAAGATAAATTTGTTCCGAGGAGTATATGAAAAAAGAACTGCTGTGTATCCGTGACATTCTAAGTGAAAACGGATATCCGGACAAGTTCATCAAAATTAACATCAACTACATTAGTCCTAAACGAGAACTGATAACAGCGGGGAAGAAGTCTTTGTTTCTGTGCTTACAATTTACGGGAGATGTCGCAAGTGAAATTCTACCATAACGCCTAGCTAGAACAGTCAATAGGACGTTTTATACAGGTTGGCTTTGTATATCATTCAGTAGTCGGTCAATGCTCGGCCAGAGACTACAGGATAGCCTACCTAATCTTAGCTCTTCATCTTGGATATATCAATTTAACCGTTCCTGTGGAACTAGTTTTATAGGGTGTACAATTTGGCAGGTGCGTCTCCCGATACGAGAGCGTTTACCAGGTTGGTTCGGAAAGGGCGAAGTGAAAGTGGTGAAAAGTTCAGTCCTAGCGCACCTAGTAGGCACAGGGCATCACAAAGATGCTAATAAAGCTTTCAATGTCATTCATCGTATTCTAAAAATGATACCACATGTAGTTCGCCAACGACGCCTGCTCAATAAGACTGATCAAACATGAACTCTGCATACGGAAAGAACATATTCAAGCGTTACTTCTCCCTTGCCCTTCAGAAAACTAAAGGCCACTCCTGCCATCTTATTCGTTATCTTTTTATTCACCATCATATCATTCTTTCATGTATATATCATCCTAATATTGACTAATTTAAGAAAGATAAATCGATTTCCTTACAATCCCTAGATTTCACTCCATTAAGTTTGACTAGTACTATAGTAAAAATACTAGAAAGACTAGTCAAGAAAGCCATAACAGTCTACCCAGACAGCAACACTCTATTGTCTCGTTCGCAGCATGGCTTTCGCAGAAATTCCTCTTGCTTGACAAACCTCCTTACAATCAGAGGAAGTCGGGTTAAGTCTGGAGATGATAGGATACCTGTAGATGTTATTTTCATAGACTTTAGTAGGGCGTTCGACAAGTTACCTCATTCCAGATTGCTTGAGAAATTGGAAAGTTTTGGAATCGCTGGCAGCCTACTTCCATGAGTAAGAGTTCCTCTTTGGCAGGAGAAAAAGGGTAAGGATCAATTTTCAACTCTCCTCTTGGAAGTTGGGAGACAGTGGAGTACCACAAGGCACAGTCCTGGGTCCCCTGAGGTTTATCCTATACGTAAATGAGCTGCCAAATATCACGAAATCTCCTACAGTTCTCTACGCTGATGATGTAAAAATCTGGCGGGAAACTAGGAGCGACGATTGGTAGCAGCTCTGAGTTTTAGGAGACTTTTGGCATTACGTAGAACGTTTACGAAAATAAGTGGTGACATGCTCAACATCTTATGCACATCCTTAGTTAGGTCCAAATTAGAAAACTGTACACAGGCGGCAACCCCATCTGGTTAACTAGTTCATTAGTTACTAGCCAGTCCTAAGCTCGGATAAAGGGGAGGTTGGACAAAGGGCTAGCAACTCTACCCTAAAAAACCAATCTAATCGCTAAACAAACTTCAAAGCACAAACAAAATATTAAAAATAAAAATAAACTCATTTCTCGCTGGAATCGGGGAGACGAAATGACGCCAGTTAGCGAAAGACTTCGGGCAGCCAATTGGTCGATATGCCTTCCCTCCCTCGATGAAAACAAAAGTAAACATAGGGACATGGAATGTCCGAACAATATTTGAAGCTGACTGCCTGGCAAGGCTGCCCAGATTGCAAAAAAGGTGAGAAAGTATAACATAGAAGTGCTAGGAATCTGCAAAAGCAAATGGAATAGAAGTGGACTCTCCCAACTTTCAACTGCAGAGTCAATAATCTACTCTGATATTGTCAATCAGACAACCACGAGCACAATGAGTTCTCGAGTGGCTGTCATGATGTCCCCAACAGCATCGAAGGCTCTCGTGCAGTGAAGTGGGAGCCATTCTCCTCCTCCACGATCACGATCATGACAATAAGATTCAACTTGAAAGGAAGCAAAGTCACAACCATAAAATGCTACGCTATACACCTGCAAACAATTAAGCAGACCAACAAAGGAAGGAGGAATTCTACAGACAACTTCAATCAGTACTAGACAAGACCCACACCAGTCGACAACATCAAAATTCTAATGGGTAGGGTGATATGCATGCCAAACTGGGAGCAGACAACACAAAAAGAGAACCAATCATGGGTCGAGAAGCGCTCAGTGAAATGGATGAGAATGGAGAACTGTTCACAGACTTCTGCACATCCAACCATTTGGTGATTGGAGGCAGTGTGTACAAACACAAGGATATTCACAAAGCGAGCGACATGGGTTTCACCAGATACCACGACACACTGAAAGCCACATCGACTTCATCTCAATGTGGGGAAAGTGGAGACACAGTCAGCCTACTCGACACAAGTTCAGATCACAAAGAGGAGCAGATGTAGGTTGACACCACTCACTATCTGGTGCAAGGAAGCTACCTTCAAAATCAAGTTGAAAGCCTTCACACAAGTTGGTGACAGACGACCACAGTTCAAGTTGAACACCCAGAACACGAACTGAACTGAAGGACGAAACTACAAGGGACATCTTCACGTCAATCAGCCATCAGGAAAAAAGTGGCAAACATACAGCAACATCATCGAGGAAAACTACGTGGAAGAACACTGGAACTCTATGAAAGCGACGTGGAAGGAAACCTGCATAACCGTGTTAGGAAGGAGTAAGAAGAAACAAGACAAGGAATGGATCTCGATGGACACATGGAAGCTGATAGAGCAGGAGAGGAAGATGGTGAAGCAGAAGATGAACCAGTGCAGTGCAGTGCGGTGTAGTGCAGTGCAGTGTGGGGATAAACAACGAAAAGACGAACTGAACACAACATATAAAACACTACACTGGACAAAGAAGTGAAGAAGAGTGCGCGCAAAGACAAAAGACACTTCTACGACACACTTGCAAGTGAAGCAGAACAGGCTGCTAGTAGGAGAGACAGAGACCTGACAACACTATATCAAATAACCACGGTACTATCTGGGAGAGAAGAGATCAACGCAGATGAAACCAATGAAAGATAGTGAAGGAAACCCAGTTAGCAAAGAAAAGAAACAGGAAACGATGTGCTGACTACTTCAAAAAAACTCTTGAGTCGACCAGCACCACCACCTGCAACTTGTCCAGAAAAACCACCAGCAGCCCAACCACAAAACCATCAGTGAACAGAAACCCTCCGACAAAGGCAGAAGTGTAGAAGTCCTGAACGCCATAAAGTTGCTGAAATTCGAGAAAGCAGCATGACCAGATGGAATTCCTCCGAAAGCACTGAAAACGGACGCAGAGACATCGGTGGATATGCTCACACCACTATTGCAGAAGGTTTGGAAGGAAGGAAGGAAAGGTACCTGCCTATCGATTGGAAGAAGGGCTATCTTGTCAATCTCCCAAAGAAGGTTGAACGAAGTCTTTGCAAGAACTGGCGCGAAATCATGCTCCACTCCTGTCCAGCCCAAGCAAAATATTAAGAGAGACTGAAAGACGTGCTGAATTCAACTGGATTATGACCAGAACAGGCTGGCTTCAGGAAAAACAAATCATGTGTAGATCAAATTGACACGTTACGCTACGCATCGTCATAGAACAGAGTATAGAATGACAGTCAACTCTCTGCCTCAACTTCATCGACTTTGAAAAGGCCTTCGACAGCGTCGACCGAGAAGTAACTCGGCAGGCAGCTGCTTCAACACTACGGAGTACCACAAATTTTTATCAACCTCATTCAACAGTAGCTATATGCTACATGCCAAGTGATTCACAACACAATGGAAAGCTCAGTAATACCTTTGAAGTGGAGACAGGAGTGAGACAAAGCTGCCTACTATCAACGATCATCTTCCTGATTGTGGTCGACTGGGCCAGACTGGATCATGCAACAAACTGTGGGGAGCCGTGAGAAGATGGGCATACGCTGGCTGGACCGATGAAAAGACCCTAGAAGATTTCGATTTCGCCGCCGATGATGATTTATCTCAAATGTCAAAATGACAAAAACCAACAAGTCGACAGAAGAGGTGAGGCAGCGAAGACGGGACACCTTTCACCTGAACGTAGAGAAGACAGAGGTGATGAAGATACCCAAACAACAACAACAACAATAACGAGCACCAAAAGCCATCGACGGGGAAAATCTACAGAAAGTTGTCTCTTTCACCTACCTAGGCAGGATAGCATCGTTTCAATTACAGGTGGCACAGATGAGGACGGCAAAGCCGGGATCGGAAAGCAAGACAGACCTTCATTAATCTGAAACCAGTATGGAGATCTACTGCACTAAGGATAAAGCGTGAACAACATCCGGATTTTGAACAACAATGTCAGTCAGGTAAGTCAGTGCTTCTGTGTGATGGTTCAGAAACTTGGCACGTCATAAAAAGCATTTCCAACAAACTGTAGACATTCATCAACAGCTAGCGCCTACGCTCACTCGGTACTGAAGGTCAGATGGCCAGAAACAATAAGCAACATGGAACTGTGACTGGCAACAAAGCAACCAACAACCTATCGCCCAACAAATATGCAGAAGAAATTGGAGATGGGTTCAGCATACACTTAGAAAACCATTTGGAGACATCAGGTACCAGGCCAGGTGGTCGAGTGGAACCCAAGTGGGAAACGACGAGTTGGGCGTCCTAGGCGAGAGCGACATAGATGAAATCATGTGAGGAAGAAATGAAAGCTTGTGGGCAGTTGTGGAGCCAGGTTGAGAAGACTGCAGAGAACAGAGTGAAATGGTGACGTGCTACTGAAGCCCTATGTTTCACTAGGAACCCAATGGATAAATAATAAAATAATACACAGGCAGCAAATCCTTGTCTGAAAAGTGATGCAGACCTTCTAGAAACAGTTCAGAGGGCAGCCACTCGTATGATTCCTATGATGGCTGGTCTCATCTATGAAGATCGACTTAAGGAGCTGAACCTCTTTTATTTGTCCTTTCGCAGACAGAGGGGAGACCTAATCATGCTATACGAGATTCTGATCTGATTCTCACCTGATCTATCTTCTCTTTTCCTTCTCACTAGGTCGGAACACCTCAGAGGACATTGTAGGAGACTACAAAAGCAAACAATGAACATAGTCTGCACACAGTAGTGGTTCTCGCGTCGAGTAATCAGGAACCGACTCCCAGAAGAAGTGGTGTCCGCATCATCAACTGACTCGTTCAAAAGGGGATTGGACAATCATTTAAGTCTACTGGAAAAGGATTAATATAGGCTCACAGCCTCCTATCCTCAAACAACAAATCTGAAATCCCTAGATCTCACTCCATTTTGAAAATGTAACTGCCCATAACATGGCTTGTTTTTACGCTGTAAAAATGCATTTTAAAATTGTAGAACCTGAAGAGAATTTATTGAAAAGAATATTATTCGTTCAGATTATTGCTTTTTTTAAAAATATTATGGGAATCTTTAGTTGTTTGAAATCTTACATTTCTCAAGTAATTTATCCTTATTCCATCCTTACTCAGCAAATATTATTCACCTTTCAACACAATACTATTAACAGAAAAGTAGCTCTGTTTTTCACAAGAGATTTCTGAGACTAGAGTATGCAAGATGTAGTTATCAAAGAAGACGAAAGTGAAGTGCATGAGGCTGGATAGAATCTACTGGCTTATTACAAAAGATTTTGTCTGATATATTTCAAGCACTTTGCAACACCTACTATGAGATAACACGATGTTAGAGTAAATGTCTTAAAAAAACAGACATGTTTTTGAGTTGCAAGTTCCAGTATATACTACGTGCAGACATTAGTTCATAATTCAATTTCGAAAACAGTACACTATACATATTCTTTATAGACTATATGGACCAAGACACTGCATCAACCCATGAAACCTCTGACTGTTGGTTGAAGTCGTGTTAAGAATTGTAGTCTATCTGACTGCAATCCTCAAGATATTAGGGACCAATGGCTGGAGATCCTCCAGTGATATGACACAAAATCGGCCTTAGTGGTATAGATAACGGCATTTACTTATCCATTCACATCCATTTTGTTCATTTTAATATTATTCAATCTTCACTATCTACATGAATGCTGTTATGGTGGAGTGTAGCAACATGAAATGATATACTCCTGTGGAGTGTTGAACGTTGATTTGTTTGTCCATTATCACTGTGTCGTCATGCAGAATATAGGGTGACACAAGTCATGTTGAACAGCTTTTGTTGTATCTGAAATGGTGATCTGATCAGTGTTGGTGCTTTTAAATGATCCGAAAACTAGTGCGTTTACCTCTTCAATCATTTCTCCGTATCGTATTACACCTTAAGCCTTACCAGTTGGGATTGACGACAAAACTATTACAGATGTGGTGGGGAATATTTGTAGCTTAGGTGGCTGGTCTTGGTTGCATAATGTTCTCTGAGGTGGGTTGTTTAATCGTGGAGCTTTCATCGTCTTTCAGTATGAAGTGAGTTGTTAATATCTTTCCGTGAGTGATTTAATAGCTTGCCCTGCCTGACGAACTGATTTATGATTGATTGTTTCATTTGTTTATTGTGTCATTGACTGGACAGAATTTCCTGTTGGTTATTCTTGTATTACAGATGTTTCACATCGTCTCAACAAAGGGATATTTTCACACTTCTATAGAAAAAACCCAGTAGTAGCGGTATTACCAAGTTGGTGTACAAAACTCTTCTCATAGTAATAAGTTAGCTAAAGACGAAAGGCATTATTTTGCTTATGATTTTCTAGCAAACTAATCTACTTAATTAGGACCCAATCATTCCATTTTCCATCACAAGTGATTTCTGTTAGTTATTTGAGAAGTTTACAGATAGATGAAAGTTCTAATTACGTATAACTGCTTGTTTATCATTCCTAAATATTTTAGCGTTTTTTTCGAATAAAAATAAATGACATTTTTGTAGATATTCAACCTTAAAATAAACATTGTTAGCTACAGAAATCTTCCCAATGTGATTGTATTTGTCAGTTGGATTAGTATTATATACATTTTGTGGTCAAAGACTTTACTAATCAACCATATATATTGAGCACGAAAAGGGGTTTCAAGAAACTTTAATAACTTTTAGACAATAGAATTTTTTACCGTAGACTCGGTTGAATAAAAAAAACAATTATAAATTAACCACTCGAAAGGATGAAACTTTGTCATTTTATGGAATGATTCTATCACCTCCAACTCAGTAGTCTAGAAAAACTCCTCAAGCGCAAGCCAGTGGACCTATCTTACGTTATACGGAATAGATAGAAGTGTTGTTAATTCTAATATTTGCCATTTACTTATGCTGATGCTTTAAACTTAAAGTGATAGAAAACAACAACTGAAGGAGTTCAGTAACGATGTTTTAATAACTTTGAAGATATCGAGTTTAAACTGGAATTTTGGTGTCAGGAGTCAATGAAAAAGAAACCCTGGGTATTATGCTTCATGTTTGTTGGGACTTTCAGCAAGGTTTGTAATTCAGGATTCATCTGAGAAATATGTACACTCCATCTAAAATCATAGTCAATTTCAAAGACTTTAATTCAAAAGGGGGTTAACCAAATCCCCATCAGCATTGAGTTATAGAAATTATAGCCTTGTGAGGTTTGAATTTCCAGGCGAATTGTACTTTCGGTTTAGCAGCCACATTCATTTTGCACAAGATGCTTTCATCATTTGAAGTAACACGACAAAACACAAGTAAGCTACGAACGGATATGCATGATAGGCGCTTCTTGAACACCTAATTATATATATATATATATATATATATATATATATATATATATATATATATGAAATAAAATATGAAATGCGTGTAGATTGCAATGAGCATGGTTAATCCTATACGATAATTAAAGCATTTCATCGAAATGAGACTGACCTTATCATTACGTTCACAAAGAAATTTAAATTTCTGTTCACGTTTATGCATGAATACACCATCTAAATGTCCAGTTTCAGCTGACCTTACTTCAATCGCTTTTAAACCCCAACCAAGTAGTTGACCGGTGGATATATAGGCTACACAAGTTGGAACCTCACCCCATTGAATAACAACATTTTTTGTTAGTTTTCCATTAGTATCTACATAAACACCTTCAGCTGAAGTAAATCAAAGTGAAAAAAAAGCATTGGATAAATATGATTTCATAACAATCGACTGAAAAGCACTACATGAAAGTAGATGTGCAAATCCATCAAATTCAGTAAGACTTGAAGATCTATGCCATTATGGAAATTGTTAATAAAGACTGTTCGAAAAGAAAATGGCAAACATTGTGGATTCCATTACTAGCCAAAACGAAACAAATACCATCAAGGTGAGAATCACGGTCACATACTGGTGAACATAAAAGGAGGCCAACAGAGGTTGATCTATGCGGTTTAAGAAAGCAAACAACAAGAAATCATGGTACAGAAACAGAAACAACTAATAACCATTGTACAAGAGGTGGCTCTTGTGACTCTAGAATTTGAAATAATGTGTCGTGGGCTCGACTCCCAGCTAGAATACCACTACTCACTGCGACGTATATGTATCTAAATGACTTGTGACAGGTAAGATAAAATATACTTCCCGTATCCCTCTGACAGCCACCACTGAACAAACAAGAAAGTAGTGAAGGGAAGGGGGGAATAAATCAAAAGTAAGTAGCCTAATAAAAGGCATTCAATTGAACCGCTGTAAATGGCTGAATCATATCACTAGGATTTTTAAAATGCAGACTTCCAACAACTTCAGAAACTCAGTTTAGAAACGTACACTTCTATACACGGCTCAAAGAAACAGTTCATGGATCGACAACTGAGGGGCCATAGAAACTGTACCATTCATCCGACCCAATTCTACAGAAATTAGTACTTTATGTTAAGAACAGGAAGTAAATCGAACATGTGAAACATTCTAAACAGTTGAGTTGGCTCTGGTTCCATTAAACGTTGGCAATATAATGAAACTACTTGATATCGAATACTTGTATCTTTTGAGTTATACATACTTTTCTGTCAGCACTTATGTATCTTACTAGCATCATAGATGGTGTAGGTTAGCGAATATCATATTCATTTCATATCACCACTGCTCCACCTACCGAGGTTTAGGCAGCCAGACAGTATCACTGGGCATCACACAATAGGTGTGGCTCATTGCCTACTACACGAGTATGTAGTGTGTTTCGTTCATTCGTTCAATATCATAATGCAATCTAATAGTAATACGGAGTTAACCCCACAATCCACCTACATTTAGTAGGAAAAAAAAAAAATGAACCCTGCTTTAAATCGCATCAGTAGTTTCTGAATGCAACAAACTTACTATCATAACATAAAAGCAATTGCATTCCATCCGTATTGGGAAGGACCACTATACAATGAGGCGTAATTTGAGAACTAACCTATAAAGAAAACAAATACAAAGAATGAACTGAAAAAGAGGCAAGTTTATTTGAGGAAATAATTTATTCTGATAGGATGGAAAAAAATTGACAAACAACAACTTAGTTTCTGACCAGATTTTCTTAATGCGAAGAATTTCAAAGGAATGATTATGCAAAACATCCCTGGTTAGTGTAGAATAACTGTAGACCTCCAAGGATAGCAGGGATGAACTGTTTCGTTGCCACGTTTGTCCTTTGGAAGAGTGGCTTTACAAAGTAGCTGGTCATTCACATAGTACTCTAAAGAGATAAATGTAGTATTTTAGTTCCAACCATACAACAAAGACAAACTTATGTAAGGGAAATAATGCTTTCAAAGAATATCGAGCCATCAGTCTCCACGATAATAAGTACGATGGTGTTAACAGATGGGGATAAAATAAATCATTTTACAGTAAGAGATAGTAATCAAAAGTGAAGAAACCTTTTTACATGTAAGGCTTACTCAAGAAACATGTATATTAATAGTAAAACGCACTATCTTAGCTGCAGGAAACATGGTGGAAGAAAGCCGAGACTGACTACAGTAGAGCATAGAACTCAGCCTATGGAAGCTTCGGACTACTGGTTTAATCCGTGTAGGGTACGGGAGGATTTCACTGCAGTCTCCACATAACAATCAAAATCCATACACGAAGACTTTAGGTGGCATAGCTCAGTATCAATCACAGCAGAGCAGAAGCATCGAATTCATATCTCCCTCTTAATCCGAAAAATCTGGAAAAATGTTGAGACGTAATCCAGCAACCACGTGCACATTCGTGAAGTAGTCAATGAGCCATGCCTATCGCGTAAGGGCTTATGACACTACTCGGTTTCCCAAACTTCAGTAGGTGGATCCAAATTGCAACTCGTGACCATCCTAACCATTACACTTCATTTCTATGTAGAAGAAAAGGTTTCTAAGACAAAGCGAATTACATGTTAGTGTCGTACCAATTATTTTAGTGATTACGTTGCAAATTTAATCGACAAACTTTAATAGATCCTGAGGACTTTGGACTCAACAGCTACATTGATTACCAACCGATGGACGATTATTCATGATTTATTTGTGTCCTAATCCCCTGCAGATAGCAGATTCATGCTCTCAAATGTTAGTAGTTTCAGTCACTTATTCACACACTATAAAATTTATTGCTACGTATGTATATACATTGAAACAAAGAGGGAACAAAAAAAATATCTTTAATAAACCATGAAAATATCTTACCAATGAAGGAATATACAAATCAAACACTGTATTCGAGTCCAAGTCAATCGCATGAAATCCACTAGATGAACCATAGATAACTTTTAATCGTGTATTCTCTTCAACAGTTAAATCCACAAGTAATGGTCGGTGCTTAAGTTCAGAAAATCTCTGGAAAAAAGATCAAATGACAAATGTACATAACACAGCTATCAAGGATAAAAAGCATCAGGTTAGGCGTCTGGTTGAAGTTTAGAAAAAACCTAGACGGCCATATAGTGTGAACAAACAGAATAAATTTAAAAAGTGATTCGTTATTCAGGAGACAATACAGTTGAGGACCAACGAAAATGTTTATTGGGGAATTACACACAGTCTTAGCAAAACGTGAGAATCTTACACTAAACACACTTCATACATATAGTTTCTATATTCAAAATAAGTTGATCTTAAGTTACTGTTGCTTATTCATTTGTTTTCTGTATTTCTTTACTAAAATTTTCGGTTCCTCCTTCAGAAAAACCTCTACCGATTAGATCATGATGCTACTTGCTTTTCTCATAGATGTCACGCTAGATATTACTTACATTTGTTTGTATAAGTAGCACGCACCAAAGTGTGAAATATTGTAGCTCAATTCAAAAGCCATACAAGCCAACAATCCGATGTTAACTCACACCACTTATTCGAATTTAACAGCGAAGCCAGTTCTATCATTGTTTGAGTTTCAGATTTCTCTTCAATATGAAAACAGGCCAGTGTAATAAAACAACTCACGAATGATAAACCAGCAGAATAATATTCAAAAACATTTTGTCTTTTTTTCTACACTGGAAGACTTACACTTCACTCTACAAGAGACATTACACAGATAAACATCATACAAGACTTAAAATTGTACACTACAGAATGAGTGTGTATATAAAACGACAATTCACAGTGAGTGAATGTTTCTTGTTAGATACATCGTCTATGAAACATAAAGTTGAAGGTTTATTTATGTGCAAATGGACAGCATATAGATCTTTGAGATATTTCGCAGTAGGTCTATGACTATAAATTAATTAAAAGTTGAAACACAAAACTTTCTAATAGATAAGTTGGTTTAAAAATCAAAGTGTTAGTACATGACAGAAATTTTAATTATCATATGAAGGTTGATTGCAACCTGCTAGGAATACCGAACTACACAGACTGTAAAATGAGAGGTAATTGACAGTACTATATTCTCTAGTAAGCAAATAACATTTAGAAGTAGCTTCCTAACACGCTTAAGTTTCAGTCAGGTGAAAAGTGCAAAAACAACAGTTCTTTATTCGTGATACACTTCAGTTTGTCTCTCTGTTATTTCGATATGTATTGTCTATTTGACTCGTTTCAGTTAACTTTGTATTCGTTATCATGAAATACACTGTCGAAAGCACAAGCTGATTGGTCACTAGAGAGTTACAGACTTCATATTGTCTAGTCTTAAGTGTTGATGGAGTTTATTCCGATCATTTTGAAATGTGATTAATAAACTCAGATAGTCTCCATGACCTTGCACGCTGATTGATCAGCGGGAAAAGAGATAAGAAATCCTATTCCAACCCTTCTTGTTTGTTGGCACTCGTCAGCAAGGTGCATTTATAACCTCGAGGGAACTAATTTTCCATCATCTCATCTAGCAATACAGTCAGAAACGCCACCATTGAACTGTTTGTGCAGTAATTGACCTCCAGTAGGTCTCCATGAAATACATCAACTGGTTACCAGTCAGTCATCGATTTCACGCTATATAGGTTTCAGTGTGAATAAAGTTGTATCAGAGGTAATGTCTTTGACTGGAACACTGAGTGACATGGGTTCAGATCCTTAACGCGACATTAGTTCTTTCAAGGATCCATATATACCTTACTATCACAAGAGGAAACAACCACAAAATTTAGGTCCGAGTTTTCCTTCTGACAGCCTCTAACCAGTGTCAAAAGGTGATACAAATACATAACTAAGTGAAAGCGATAACACAGTTAACTACTGAATGGCTTCAATCATCCAACCAAATTTGATGACTTCCATTGCATGCTCCATTAGATTATTACACCTAACCTCTACATTGCTCACGCCCTAACTCCACCATACTTTCAACAGCCCCATAACAGGACAGAATGAACTACAGCGCAGCATACTCGTCCTCTAACACGCATTCGGATATCTCGTAAGTCAGTGGCCAAACATCAATCAAGTTGGTAAATGCTAAACGAACCTTTTGGTTCCGAGCTGAGAATTCGTCAGCAACCAATCTGTTTGGGTTGATGCAACTCCCCAAGTAAATGAAGTGGTCATTAAACTGTAAGTAATTCCGGCAGACCAGTCCTGGAGCATCATCTCACATGTGACAGGTGCCAACCGCATGCTACACATACTCAGGTTTCTTCTCAACGCGTTCACGAAACCATGCATTTTGTCAGCGTCTTCATTTAACAGTACAATATCGTCTGCACACTCCAAGTCAACCGAATACCCTCAAGGTGGTAGATCAACCCCTATGAAGTAACAATTAACTGAGGTTATATATACTAGTAAGTCTATAACAAAGTTAAATAGGAAGGGTGACAGTAGGTATCCTCGGCGTACACCACTTGTTGTCGTCAATTCTGATGATAACTCTCTATAACCCGTTACACGGCTGTGTAAGTTCGAGCAGATAGCTTTGATTAGCGTTATAAACTTGCTCGGTACTCCCTTCCCAGTCCGACACTGTCACAACAATTCACGGTAGACCGAGTCAAATGCTTTCAGGTAAAGAAATACGGCAAGTGTCAGCCGCCTGTGTTCCAGAAGCTGACAGAGAGTGAAAATCCAATCGATGCACTTTCTCTCACCCAGATATGAAATCCAATTGGTTTTCTCGAGCTTCAGTTATGCGTCAGATAACTAAGGACACAGGGATCTTGGCATATGATTTCAGTTAAACTGATTCCGTCATGATTGTCACGAGAAGACTTCTCTCCATTTTTAGGGAATGGAAGGATTTGTGAAGTAGACCAGTCTGATGGGACTAGTTGTGGCAATGGTTGCAAGAGACTGAATATTGATATCACAAAGAGAAGGCAAAGGAGAAGATAGCGATAAGAAGGGTAGGTGATGCTTGACTAGATTTTGTATGCAACTGGGGGCGTGTGGACGGGAAAAAAGGATTGTGACCACAGAGCCCATGGGACATCTGCTTGAGACCTGTCACACGTAGCCCTTTAAGTGTTGTTGGTTTCAGATTTGAACGTTACAACCTCAGATAAAAAACTCATGCGACTGGTACAGGGAGACCACAGGGAAGCGAATGTGTTATTTTTGGGGCCGACCCTTTGGACCTACAACCTATTTTTCATGCGGAAGGCAGCATTAGCATGGCAGTGATGGTCATCCATGAAAAACAACTTACTGCTGTCACAACCCCATCCAGCCAGAAGTATTACTTCGCCCTTGGACCCCCATCATAGTGAAGCAATTTACACTAAACAACAGTAACTACTTTTCGTATTACCACTATCCAATAGACCTTTCTGGCATGGTAGGACCTCAAGGAAGAAACGCTCTAGTCAATGTAGCTCTTCAGATCATTGTGATATGCAAACCCGACGACCAGGATGGATAACTCAGCGATCCTTCAGTTAACTCAGTTTTGTCGATTTATCAGGTAACTCTCTTGATCGACAAAAGTTCCAGCATTTAACCCAACATTTTTCTTCGCATTCTCATAGTGCAACCATGTGATAAAGAAGAACACAGAGGTATATTGGATAGAACAACAAAAAGATAAAAACTTACCTTAAAAGCCATAAATTTATGATAAGGACGAGGTGCCCAAGCATAAATTTCCACGGAATCCCTCAACGCAATGACAAGAAATTTGATTTTTTCATATTTAACTGTGTTTTGGAAAATGAAAGAAATGTCGGAAGTTAAGAACACAAATGAAAAACATTAAAAGTGTACTAGCAAAACTTTCAGTTTTTAAATTGATTTAACTTGTTTCATCGTTTTTCTATTTCTGATAAAACATTGTCATCTAAGACGAAATGGCCTGATCGAAGAAGAATACTCAGAAACAGTATCCCTCACGATGCACAATAAACCCAAACATCTAGTATTCAGTGTAAGAAATTTATGCTTTAGGTGTTAAGAACACGCTAATATTGTTCATTTATTGACTCGCTACACTTTAAACACGAAAATGATGACGATAGCTAAGTAATATTTCACATTTACAGTCCACATGATACATACTACTTGATAATGAATAAAATTCAGTCGGCACCTTCTTAAAATATGAAAAAAAGGTCAGAAAGGTGGTCAAAAATGTGTTTGGAATTACTAAAAACCGCTGACTTTCCAAATGTACTTAAGTAATAGGCAACTTTAGTTACACAGATTTATGCACATGGCTAAGAATGGTGCCAAACAAACGGTGAGGCTAATTAAGTTATCTGTTCTATCCTTCCTCTTTACATTTACTCAAGTACTACATAACCACTTATTTTTTATGTTATTTGTCGGCATAACAGAAAATCTATAATTTAGAGTTCGTAAACTAAAAAGGAACCGTCGCAACATAACAATGATTTGATCACATTTACTAGTGGGATGGACGATGCATCATCATCATTATCATCATCAAGTAGTAGTCTGAAGTACTTTTGTCATCTATTCAATGAAGAAGAAATTGCTGCATGAAAGGTAAGTAAATTAAAGCAAAAACCCTGTTAACAATGAAAGGTGGGCCACTTACCAATTTTGAAATGTACAGCACCTTGTAAATTTTCACCAACATTAACCCAACCGTTCTTTTTGTCACACTAGTTTAAAATGAATGTTAAGAAATAGGTTCCAACAATCATGAATTCAGAAAACAGTTTAGTAAGAATTTAAAGAGATATTTAAAGAAAACTGAATCTTGGTGAAACAGCCACTGTCAATGAATGATTACTCACAATAAGCTTTAAAAACCGTATTAGTGTGGTGTTACTGCTTAAAAATATGCATCTATAAATCATTTCGCCAACAGAATCCAAAGCTTTTAGGTTGTGAGATGACCTTCACCCAATCGCTTAATGATCAACTAGGAATAGTCTGTATGAATCCTTAGTGGGTTGAAAGTCCTAGATTTACGATTCTATAAAGAAGAATAACTTCTACCTAAAAAAGGAGATAAACTTTGAAAGGGTATGATAAATTATACCGTTTAAACTAAGAACTGAGTAAGGCAAAACTGTGATAAGAATCTTCAACATTATAACTGACAGTGACAACAAACCGAATGGACAAACGTGAATATGTACATATATTCAAGTCAGTTTTGACTGATCCGTCAAGATTTCTCATTGACAGTTTCAACAAAGATATGACTAGGGCTACAGTAAGATGGGGTACGAGAAAGCTGCATGAACTCTTGGAGAAGGCAACTATGTCGTTTGAATTGATAAAAAGACTGCTCAGCGAAGAGGATTCTTTTCGTAACTTCTCATCGCACATGTGCAGTCATTTAGTAGTTCAAACATATGACGAAAAACGCCAACAAGGGTCAAAGGTTAATATTATCTTGTAACAAAACATACTGAACTATGAATCTGAAGGTAAAATAGCATAAAGTAGGAGATAGCAAGCTAGTCTTATGTAACAAAATATGCAGACATACAATAATGAATAGAGCTCAGAAGTGCTTGTCTTTTTTACCGAGACAGGATACCGGGAACAAGAATATTACACACAAAAATGCTGGAAGGATTTTGATCAATAAAGTCAGGATGTAACAGAGGGAATGGAAGTAGAATGAAGATAAAATTATTCAGCAAAAATCAAAGAGTTGTAAGGCTAAGGCTGTGACAGCAAAAGTGGCTGAACAAAATGCTTGTGGATTGGCCAGAGATGCCGCTATACAAAGAAGACGGAATGGAAATCCCTTTGAAAGGTTTGGTCTCGTTCTATGCATCACATCCAGTGAGTTTTGTATGAATGTTGATATGACTTGTGTGCTTAGCTCCACAGGAAGAAGCAAATTGATGTACACATGGACATTGCTGACATCGAGACCTTATCTTTGATGAACGACAGCTTGTGTGGAGAAAGTCAGATGCATGGATGCAGCAAAGAATGTTATTCGAAGTGCTTTGGATAGGAGAGCTTATAGAATTTGGTTCACTGTGTCGCCTTTAAATTTCAGATTCATACACAGGCACTTCTAAGGTAATGTTAAGTTATGTGGAACATCAGGATTCTTTCATATATTTATCAACAAATGAGGTTGGGTATCCATTCTGAACTAGTTTTTTGAAAGAATCCCAATTCTCCATCTAATATATCTTCTGTGTATATACGATAAATTCGTCCAGTATGACATGTAATCAAATTCCTGATAAGGAGAAAACTGTAAAAACTCCTCAACTGCCTGTTCCCTTTAGGTCTCTGGTAGAATGGTCTTTCAGGTAATTCATCCCTTCTCCGTTAGAGTTGAACATTTAGAAAGGCAAATTAATATTCCGACTCGGCTTCAAGTGTTAAACTAGTAGGTGGATAAGCACCAATGAAGATCTCCGGAATTTTCTTCCACTCAATTGTTTCATCGCCAGCAATAAAAAAATCCTAATGTAATCGCATGGGTAGTGAATTTCAAAATATTCAATTCTAAATAAGCCATGAAAAAGTTGTTCAGTAGCGGACTTAGTGGATATCAAATTGCTATCCCATCTTTCTGTCGAAATATTTCTTCACGGAATAAAAACAGGACATTTAATGTAGATCTTAGGATTAGCTCCTATATATACCTTGTAGGTGCATCAACATTCAAATTATTTTAGTCAACAACCTTGTACAAAAAACATACTGTTTCCGTCAAAACAACATTAGTAAATCAAGAGGCAATATCTAGGTGGTAGCTAAATAAGTAGTTGAATGTCTTGCCGGTGCCAGAGATGACCTAAGTTGGCAAATGTCAAACAACTTTTGTATCACAGCTGAGATCTCGCCAACGACCCACTTCTTTGTGTTGATACAAGTAAGTGAATTGGTCAAAGTACTCTACCACTTCACTTCTTATCATTAAACTGGGAGTACCTATGGCAGGCCAGTCATGAAGCATCCTCTCATATGTGACAGATGCCAACCGCATGCTATACATACTCAGGTTTTTTCTCAACGCGTTCAGAAGACATGCATTTTGTCAGCGTCTTCATTTAGCAGTACAATATCGTCTGCACACTCAACCAAATACCCTCAGGGTGGTAGATCAATCCCTGTGAAGTAACAAGTATGTCTTGCTCGGTACTCCCTTTCCAGTCAGACGCTGCCTCATGGTCGATTGAGTCAAACGCCGCCTTCAGGTCAAGAAATATGACAAGTATCAGCCACCGGTAAGTATGCTTTTGTTCTAAAACCTGACGAGAGATTAAAGTTTGGTCCATGTATCTTCGTCCAGGTCCGAAACCTGCTGCGCTTTATCGATTTTGCCCGTTTCGAATTCCAGTTGGGTGTCGAATAAATATGGACCACACGATCTCAGACATTATATTTCTTAAAGTGGACCCCCTATGCTTCTCACAAGAAAACTTCTTTCCTTTCTTCTAAGCTGGAAGAATTACCTGTCTGACAGTACTACCCATGATTCGCATAGACTATCCAGTATTTCCGCCACTCTACTAGGTAATTTTTACCTCCATCCTTAAAAGCCTCGAGTGGCAAACCGTCAGTTCCTGCTGCTTTGCACTGTCTTTAGTAGTCTTTTCAAATTCAAGGCGAGTTGGAGTACTGATACCTACATCCTATTCAGGATCAGGCAAGACGGTGGACAACTTAAGCATAAATGTAGACCAGTTGAACTGTTATTCAGACTGTCCCATTCAAGGTTCAAGCCGTCTGCAGTGTGAGGTTATCAGGGTCCTATCCTTTTCGGTGATGGTTTCACTAACCATTATCCTTTTCTTACCAGTATCCTTCACAAGCCTAAATAACTGCCAGATATGACCTAATGCTGATACCTTCTCCACCTGTTCCGCTTTCGCAACTCACTACGGCTCGTGATCATTGCGAAGACCCTTAGTCAATTTACGTTTGGTCTACTTCCGCTCCTTATTGTGGTTAGAGACAACTGGAACGAGTCTCCTCGCGTCAATCAGTTCGAATGACTGTGGAAATCCGCAGACCTTTTTAAAAATTTGGATGTAAGTTACCGACTGTCTGTACTGCCGTTTCTAAAGCAGAGTAAAAATTACGCCAGGTTTCCTCAAGATGAGATTCGCTTTCATGTTCAGATAGATATTTTGCAATTTCCACCTTAGATATGTATTTAGTGTTCTTATCTTCCAATGGAGGACGCGCAGACTTCACTGCTGTCAGTTTCCTGCATGCAATAAGGAGCAAGCAAATAAGCACTCGAGCTAACGCGTCATCAGGGTTGAAATAGGTCATCTGAAAACACTAGCAACCCTCCACTGACCTTCAACGATGGCTTTTAGCGATATGATCTACATGAATCCATTGTTGGTTTGAAGTAGACCTCTGTTTATGCTTGAATTTGATGCTTGTCAGAACGAAATTGTAAGAAACGACCACCGTTATTGATTTGTTGATATATACCATACATACCTCCAAGACGCTTTTCCAATTGACTGAACTCCTCCAATTTGGCGCTGACGTCGTCTGCTACGATTTCTATATCCAAACATTTTGATAGAATTCATCTTTTGTCACCTCTAAACTCCAGTCGATGGGCACGTAGGTAGAGATTACAAAATTGACCCTTCCTAGTTCTGACAGATCCATTTAGTTGGAAAATACATAAAACAGCTAATGATCGGTATCCGGTTAGGAAGTCAGGCTTTTTCTCCACAATTTAATAATATACTTTTACCAGCAGGTCCATAGGAGCTGGCTGTTGAACATAAGAATACTCGTAAAGTGGATTTCGCAGATTCACCATAATGACTAGATGAATAAGCATACATGAGTCCTGTATACGTGTCTCAGAAACATAACAATAGAGGGTCACTGATTTTTGTAAATCTGTAGTTTTAATTTTTTACAATCATTTCTGTTGACATTTTTTCCGGATTCTCCTAACGTTGATAACCTTTTTAACCTCTCTACATTCACTTCCTGTTGCAACTCAAATTAATGATTTCCTAAATATTAACGTTTTTAGACCTAACTACCAGAACACTTGTAAAATAAAGTAAACTAGTACTCAACTTTAGTCTCCAAAGGTAGTTAAATGTTCATTTAACTGCCAATGTACAAATTAGTGCAAATATTTGATAGGTGCATTGCTTTGATGTAAGAATAGTGTATCTAAAGGTGACTAATAAGACTTTTACGAAAACATGCATTTCCTTACAGTTTCGCCTTCTCAATGATACAGTAGATATATTTCGTTCGTTTAGTTTCATCCTTTGAAGTTCAATAAACAACCAAAGTTTTATGCAAACGATTACATAGTTTGTATAGTTTTTTTTTACCATCAAAAATTTAATTTCGATGCCAACATCTCTTGCTTACCGCGATTTCCACTCACAGTATCTAAACATTAATGAGTTACATATTTTTACAAAAATGGTTTGTAAAAGTTGAACAAATGTACTAGATAGCTTTTAGCAAATGATATTAAGAAATTTATTATTTGGTTCGACTTGCACGAAGAACGATTTCTTGGTTGATTTTATGAGAAATATTCAAATTTCATTGCGTATATCGCTCCACAAACCTCTGAAACAGTGACTCTCACTTCTTAATATAGGAGTAAAACTTGGGTACTGTGGCTGATTGTAATTCCATTTTGGTTTGTTTATTAGAAATGTCACGGAAGGGT